TTGTAATTTGCTTTTTAGTCTTGTAGCAAGCCTAAGTACTCGTAACACTTAGGTTTTAGTGGTAAGCTGACGCTGACGTCAACAGTTCTCGAGCAACTGGTAAGCCGCAACTGGTAAGCCATGTGAAATGAATATATGTAATCCACAAATTTTAGTAGCGCTATATATGCTGAAATAAAAACTGGGGAGATAAACTGTAGCTGGTGTACGTTGTGCTTGCGTAAAGTGAGTAAGTATCTGTACCATGCATTGATGGGGTTATCAATATCATTCTTTACCCACGAAACATGATGCATAAAGGTACGTTTTGTTTTGCGGCTATAAAAAAGCGTTGCCCCAATTCACATATTCTGTGTCATTAAAATACCTTAGCTTCCGCTTGCTTAGTACAGAAAAAACATACAGCCTTTGAGGATTTCCGATACAATACTGTTTGCTTTTGCAGTACCAGTCTATCATCAGCAGTGCATATTTTCACAAGCACTTTTGATCGAAAAGTAAAGGTGGCACTTTTTTCACATGAGCTCCACCCCGTCGCCATCCAACGTCTTCTGGAACGCGTCATAAACGAAGAAATCAAAATGGAATAGGTCTAACCGGCACTGATTAGACTGCTTGAATGTCCATCTTCCAGCCTGTTCCACACCCCTGGAAATCCGATTTGAAGACCACAACCTTGACAGAGAAAATAAAAACAGTGCAACAATTGTTTGCAAGGATCGTATACTCGTACATTTGTGTAAGAATAAAATTCTTCTCTTACTGTGGGGCTGCTCGTGGTTACCGCCGAAAAAGCCCCTGCGCCATTACCGCAGTATTGCGTACCGGCGATGAATAGCAAGTCGAATTCACAACCACCAGGAACCTGGTCAAAAAGAGATTGATCATCTGCTTGTGCTAGAGCATTCATAAAGTTAACAGTAATCATTATTCCGCACAGCCTCAAGGCCCGCAACAGCATTTAAGGTTCAACGGCAATGGAACGGTCTCCACTTACATCGAACGGAAACAATGAATCTTCCGTGAACTAAAACGAAAATTTCCAAATTTGAATCGATTAGACCCGGATTTCGGTAAAAAGTCATTTTTTGTTATAACTTCACATGGTAACCAGGTAAAAATGAAATAAACTTCATTGCCCGATTAAATTATGCAAGGCGTGCACAGTAACGGAAGGAAAACTCGTTCTGCATTGCGTGCTATCTGGAGAGGCACACTTAGGATATTCTTCACTGCGTAAGAGGACTGAGGATGCAGGATCTCTTAACCCTGCACTTGGGTGAAATTGATAAAGTAACCACGCGTACGTTGTACGTTCGCATTCGTACTGTCTTGGGATACACGACATTCAGTGCTGCACACCCCATACCGGAATAAACACCTCCAAATCACCAAATGAACATGATAATTATGGAGTTTCTACAAGAGCAGCCTTCGGGAATATTTTCACCCAACAGTCCTCGAATAGCGTTAGCAATGCGGAATCATTACCGGTGTCATAAGCTCGCACGGGTAGCTTTCAATACGAGCACTTCTACTTTCACCGCAAAAGCAGCGAATGTGGGTCGTTTGTGTCTCTATTCGCAAGGCGAACAGCAGTGCCAGTAGTCAGACAGGAATTTAGTATTACTGTGTCCGAACTTACCCGCAACTGCTTTCCGGTAGGGGCCTCAAAAGTCCATTTGCACAATGCGTTGTTTGGATATTGGCCAAGGTTGTCCTGGTCGCTTTCCCCTGGTCCTCCAACAGGGGCAGTGAAAACATACGCCCCGGTTGCTGGAATGGCAATGCAGCCGCCACACACTGGAAAGAAAATAAATTAATTAAATAAATTCAAGCTTCTTTTTTTCGCTTTATGCTTTGCGATTAATATCACCTGATGTGTATTGACTCTTGTTAAATGTTAGAGTGTCAATGATCAGCCGGTGAGCTCACCCGTAGTTGATGGAGGAGGAACCGCAATTGCCACTGGAGTCGCACATGCTGTAGTCGGAGCAGTGGTTGTTGTTGTCGATGCTTTAAGAAATACAAACACATTATTCACCATTTTAGATGGCATCCAAGTTCATTATTAAGAATAATGAGCTGTTAGCTTACTAGTGCTGGTAGTAGTTGTACAAGTTGCAGCAGTAGTGGTTGGACAAACTGGACATGTAACGCCTGAAACAAATACCGATCACCGCCACTTGCAGTTGAATTCAAAGTTACCAGGTAGCTGAAATTCCTCTTTATACAACAGTCGATGACACATTTCGGTAAAATGTTACCCCTGATCATTTTGCTACAGATTGTCATCAAATTTTGCCCAATATTATTAATTTTTACAAATCCGAACGCATTAGCTGCGTTGAAATTCATGGGCTCAATTGGTTAAATGATCCCGGTCACTTCTCGTAACCACTTTGCTACCGCCAAACAACACACGAGGACATTTCGCTACTTACTGGAAGTTGTCGGGCACGTCACTGATGGACAAGCTGCAATAAAAACCATTTTTGAGGACGGCTTTACGGTTCGAGTGTGTTGTACTACGCACAGTTACAACGCATTAGTGCAGTACTCTGGTACTACGCTTTAGAGCAGTGCGGACTGCCGCTGTTGTAAAATCGTACGCTTTCACAAATTCGTTATTGGATGGTTAGCGAGCGCATTCGTACAAGCTTCCTTCTTTGCGGTTAAGCTAATACTTCAAAAAATTTTGAGAATGATATATCAATATTCGGCTAGGATGCACCATTATAAAAGGGTTCACAACTAGTGCCGCTCGTGCAAAATAAAAAATAATACATTACAAAATGTAAAATTATTACAAAAAAACCTGCATTGAACCAACACGTCGGCTAGGATGCACCATTATAAAAGGGTTCACAACTAGTGCCGCTCGTGCAAAATCAAAAATAATACATTACAAAATGTAAAATTATTACAAAAAAACCTGCATTGAACCAACACGTTCAGCAATACAGATATCCAATATATGTAGTACTAGTATCCAATAAACTAATACTATCATTTTAAAATTTTGATTGGTAACGCCCAGTGGATCTTTGCAGACGAAATTATTTTTTAAGCATACAGCAGTACTCGTAGTATTCCATTTTTCTACAACAAAATCAGACTTTTCTACATTCAGACACGGAAAATGTACCCTGGTGAGTTACCGGGCAAGTTTCGGTTTGAAAATACCTGTGGTCGTGGGATACAGCGTACATCCTGTCTTTGTGGCGTTGATAGACGATAAAGCCGGATTACATATACAGTGGTTGTTTTCGCTACAAACGGAATATGCCGGTGCACAGCTTTGTCCAGGTGCGGCACAGGGACAATTCAGTGCAGCTTTCGATACATGTCCCGCACACTTCCGGATGAAGGCGGTTTCAGCCGTTTCGGATGAGAAAAGGTCGGCCGCCGCTGATCTCGATACTGCTGGCTGCTCCGGGAAAATCGATGAAGATGTCGTTGCCGACTGCAGCTGGACAGGCGCGAATACGGGGAGAATTTGCTGAAGAAAGTTGAATTTCCCGATTGGCATTGGCAGTAAAGGCTGAGCCGCGATAAACCAATTATTCCATTTCACACCGAATAAACTCCAGATTAGAAAAAGAAGCTGCATTGTAATTTGTGATTGATTGCACTGGCCTGCTGTCGTAATCTTTGGTAAAATCTAATTTGCTGATTAATGGTCACTGCTCTTTCGTGAAATGCAAACTCTCGCTGATACAGTACTTTCTCTGCGGTTTTGGCGGAGACTAGTACATCACTTATTTTTCTATAGGTTGGGTTGGCCTTGGGCGGTTGACGATCGCCGGTCAACATAACCGTTCGCTATAATTCACTGGTACAGCTAACAGTACTGCACGTCGTACATTATCTGCTACTGGTGTACTTGTATGTGTCGTCATAATTGTACTGTGTATGGTTTACGAATGGAAATGCTGTATAATGTCAGTACTTACTGGTTAGTAGTGCCGGTTGGGTTACTTGCAGATAAACCGGCTGGCAACCCCCAATCTACGCTGTGACTAACGGTTTGCGTTTGCACTTTGCACAGATACAAAAATTCGCGTTTAGTGCAGAGGCGAATGACCGCTACCTCGCGCAGCAGGAATTAATTTGCGGCTACTTAGGGCGGATGCCATGATATTCTCGCTATTACGGCTGCTACCGAAATGTTAGCGTCAGTGTACGTTTGCGGTGTCTTCTTCCGGACTGAGTGTTCCCGGTGTGCACTTGTATTTGTCCAAAAAATAAGGAAGTGTACAGCGGTAGATAGATGGTACTACAGAGTACACACTATCCTATATGTTTATATATAATACAGAGTTGAAACTTTGAAAGTAGTACTGACATTTATTGCCAAACCTTGCGGGCACCACGGTGAACACTTCCAAGTTTTGAACGTCGACATAATATGCAGAAGCGCGTGTGCAGTCGGCGACGCTACCGCTATCGAATTGCAGACATTAGGAGATTTGTTTCTTATTAACTTGCGAACACATTCCTACACAAAATATTTTGGTTCCGAATTTTTGGTTTCGGAATCGAAGTTCTGAACAACTGGACAGCGGCGGCAGCTGCCACCGCATGTTTGTTCTAGTCATGCTTGTATAGTCACGCATTGTTGACCTTTGCAGCTGAAATTATTTTTTGAGGCATACTATGGCGGTACTCAATTTTTCTACAAAAGAAAAACATTTTCTGCATGCGGAGCTGGAAGATGTGCCACGGTTTGTGTCAGTATGTGGCAGACCATACACGTACAAGTCCGTTTCACAAACTGGTTACCACTGGCATCGCGACATTTTGCCGAGGACAATTAGTCGCTGGACATTCGGTGCCATATCGACGCCGAGACAGTTGGCCGCAAGACTGTTTCGACGACGACAGCTGCATCCATCAGAAAATAATGTCTATCACAGCCAGATGCAATTTTATTTGATTATGTGACTTCATGCATCCGCAGTAATCAACCATACTACAGCAGGATAACATTAACAAGATTATATTTTCTGATTTTGCGATTCAAACTCCGCAATGATTTCGGCAGGATATTAATACATAAATGCTACAGATACACTTATAAGTTTTCAGTGCGCACAATCCACAGAAAAAAACGGTTTTTGTGTCGGTCTGCCAGTGCACGCCATTACGCATTTTTCTAGTTATTACAATATGCAATTTCCACACAAAACGACTATAAACGCGTATCAACAACAAGCAAGCAAATGCCATCGCAAAGCGATTATCGATCCCTTGTCTCTAGAAAAATCTTTGCTGTCGGTCTTACGGGTCCACAGTTCTACTCCGTGCATTTGAAATAAGTAGTATGTCAGAACGGCACCACTAAACCGCTTTTATATTCATTTTCCAGCCTGTGCCCGTGTTGACAGAATCCGATGAAAAGACCACAACCTTTACGGAGAAAAGAGAAATGGCGAAGAAAGCAATACGATATCACATATCTTACAAATCAATGTGGACCAAGCTAATTGGACTTACGGTAGGGTTGCTCACGGTTTGGGGCGTTGTAAATGGCGCATCCATGCAATATCGCTGACCGTCGATGTATAACGCGTCAAACTCACACTGATCACCGTCAGCAATCTGGTAAAAAAACATTTGGAAAACTGTTAATATTACTTATAAGTATTATAAGATGAAATAATCCGTGCAAATGTGACGCTTTGCTCCGAATCACTCGAAGGATCACCACTTACATTGAACGTGACCAAGGGATCTTCCGTGAACTGAAAGAAAAAGAGCAAAATTCCGGTTCGAGAACGTGGCCAGTTTCTTTCGTCTCGGGCTAATAATTTGAAAGTTTTTACGTATAATAAAAGCGAAGCAAATTTTAGCACGAGTGAAAATGCGAGGCTTATACTCTGGCCCTGGTGGTCGAGGAAGGGCTACGGGACAACCGTTTTCGAATTCTGACCGCCCGGGGGCAGAGTTGCAAGTATGGCGTCCCCTTCCGCCCCTAGGACCCCTACTAATTTCTCGCCGCTACCCCAGCAGCTTTTACGCTCCTCACCGCCCCCATCCCTACCAAAATTCAGCCAGCCCGAAATTCATATCGATAAGATTCGTTACTATATAGAACGCCGAATAATTTTTGGGATCTTATAAGACCTTTAAATGCTTTGCATTGTATTTCTTAACTTTTTCAGTAAGTGCAAATGCAGCGGCGTTCGCGATATCAGCCCAGAGAACGTATTCAAAAACTCCCAGATACTTATAACACAGTTGGCCGCTGATAACGGTGGAACTGGCAAGACAATTGGTGATAACCAGCAGAATCCGCTATTGACGAAAATATACAGTACGTCGTTGTCAAAATGCCTCGTCGGCGAAATGTCCCGTATGCGAAATGGGATGATATTCAAGCTGATGAATGTCGTCGAAGCGGTTCACCATGTGTGACTGACTACCTGTTTTGGCCAGCTCACCATGCACGCAGCATGACTAGACACACCTGTCGGAAGGTACCCCTTCTATTTCTATACCTGATTTCATTTTGGTTCTGTTTCCGTTCGTACGGGACGACGTCTAATAAATTAGGCCTGCGATGTGGCCGCACAGTGAATTGGTGTTTCTCTCTTCTTGTAATCGTAATAACAGCTGATTCGTGACCTTACATCCTTTAATCCCAACCTGTACAGTCGTAACCTCCCTCGAAACGCTGAGTAAGCAATTCGAGTTCAGATGCTTTGAGTGCATCGTTTTAATATCGAGCGTGAGCGCTGAACGCAGATAATCGAATGTATATCAGTAAATACTATACCAGCAGTTGCTTCCCGAGAGGGCCCTCGATGGTCCATACGCAGAAGGCGTTGTTCGGATAATCACCATTCGTATTTGCGCCCGCGCCTAACCCGCCTGCAAATTCGTCGGTTCCTGCAACAGGTGAAGTAAACGCAACCGTACCCGATGCTGGAACGGTGATGCAGCCACCACATCCTGGAAGAATAGTAAAACAGCCACATGATTATTTTTCTCTTCCACTTTGTATGTCTTTGTGGACTGTGTAACCTTCCGATCGATCCAGCCACTTTATGAAACAGTTTGGGTGTATTGTTACGACGGCCACTCGCCTGTAGTTAACGGATTTGGTGGAGCTTTTATCTCTGGAGTCGCCTTACATGCTGATGACGGAGCGGCAGTTGTTGTTGCTGTGGTGGTGGTGGTGCTCGACGCTGAAAATAATTGTAATGTTCGTTGTACACTTAATTTATCTGTAGGTTTGACGGCGTCTACTTTAATGTCGATCTATTCAGTTCAAGCGCGTCTTGCAGTGCTGTCGCACAAATTAACTCGACTTAACATTGACGCATTAATCTAAATATAGCGCCGTTTAAATAACTAATTTGGATTCCGTTATCCAAGCCAAAGTAAAAAGATATGACAATCTCTGTCTGTACCAAAGTACAATACAGAGTATATGCTAAGCGCCGAAATTGCCGTGAACTTAAAATATACCGACCGGAAGCACAAAATCCGTATAATCTTGTTAAGACAGTTACATTTTTGCATTGTTAACAGAACCTGTGCTGGTGCTGCTGGTAGTTGTCGAACAGGTGTCAGCAGTCGTGGTTGGACAGACTGGACACGTAGCGCCTGCAAAAAGAAACTGGTCACTAGCCAATCAATTCCATTTTGCTGCAACATTTGCAGGTCGGCTGTTTAGAAAAGCCTACGGTTTTGTAGTGAAAGCACCCCCAAGTAGTACCTAATGATTAATAAAAGCGAAAAGTCCACAGTATTCTTATAATATTTTACTCAATATACTCTTATACTGTACTTTGTAGTCAGCTGAATTGCCCGAATACAGTTAAAATGGGCTTGTGCCCGTGGTTCAAACTTTTTATACAAGACAGATTTGACACTGTCTCATCGACGGGATGTTTTACGACGTGTCGTTTTCATAACAATTTGCACAAGTCTTCACGCTAGGGTGTACTCCAGTTCTAACGTAAAATTAACTGACAGTTTAAATGTATCTGTAGAAGCTGCGTGCTAGTTGACGGTGCAAAACTGGTGGCATGTTCCAGACCATTTCACAGAACTCCTTGCCACCGTGAGTACCGTCGACACCGAAGGGATATTTTGTTACTTACTGGTAGTCGTCGGGCACGTCACTGCGGGGCAAGCTGCAACCAAAACCATTTAGAGACTGCTTTATGATGGGACCAGCTTTACTGTTTTTCTGACGACTCCAGTTTACAAATACCTGTTGTCGTAGGATACGGCGTACATCCTGTATTTGTGGCGTTGATGTACGATGTAGCGGGATCGCATATACAGTGGTTGTTTTCACTGCAAACGGAGTATGACGGTGCACAGCTATGTCCTGGTGCGGCGCAAGGACAATTCAGCGCCGCTTTCGATACATGTCCCGCACACTTCCGGACGAAGGCGGTTTCGGCCGTTTCGGATGAGAAAAGGTCGGCTGCCGCTGATCTCGATATTGCTGGCTGCTCTGGGGAAATCGGGGACGGTGTCGCTGCAGGCTGCAGCGGGACAGGTTGGAGTATTGGGAAAAAGTCGGTAAGAAAGTTAAATTTTCCGGCTGGCATTGGCAGTAAAGGCTGGGCAGTGATAAACCAGTTCTTTTTCAAACTGAATAAACTGTAAACTAGAAATACAAGCTGCATTGCGAATTTGTAACTGCTTAACGCCTGTAAACTCTGTATTTAGACAAAAGCTATGTAATTCGTTAGAATAACAATTACCACTGCTTCGCATTTTCGGAGCTGCTTTTTTTATTTTTGCAGAGCGTTGCATGGCATGGCTGTTTTATCTACAGTATGGGCTTTTCTAAGGCGGTTTCTGCTTGCAGGCCAGCGATGGCAGTTACACTGCTAATACTTGATGCTGCTAAGTGTTTGAATTATTTATTAATACAGTGTATTAAATATTTTACCGACGGTACGTACGAGCACCATTTGGGTTACCTATCCATGCCGAAACCGGTTGGCAGTTTGCACCATTATATCATTCTATTCGTCGAGCATTCGGTGGATTGTAAATGTACAGTACGTTGCAAGGTAAGTACAGAATCCTTGGGTCTGTTAGTGGAGAGTGGTCACTACACTCTCAACAAAACGTACAGTAATTTGCCGCTGGCATTGTTTTACACTATTTTCTAATGTTTCTTCTTCTGTTGATTTATTTTCTGCACCAGAGCGTAGCACAGCAACTGTCATACAGCAGTATTGTACGAGTATTTTCAGCGCACCTACAATAATTAATTTTGTTATAAGCCCATCAGTTATGTCAGTCAATGCGGAAGGTCTACGACCGCTCGTGAACTGCCCAGAACGTCCAGGTTACAACGTAGCATGCAACTGCAGCGTAATACGCACGTTATCGCTTCATTCAATTTTATTTCCTAAATCATTGTCTTGAAACTTTAAAATTTTATAGAATCTCGCCACTTATTGAGCCGTAAATTATTTGCAGCACACGGATGGTTCAAACACAGTCGGTAAATAGTGGCGGGATTCTCTAAAAATTTTTAATGTTCGAAAAAGTGGTTTAGAAGATATAAAATAAAATAAAGCAGTAAAAACCGCAATGATAACGAGTTACACAGAACTCAGAAAATAAAATTTGTCAGTGTAATCAGTCTCAGAAATGGTACGACAGTACGGCATTGGCAATACATTAGTACCGTCTGCCGTTCAGTACCGTCTACAATTAAATTGGTGTTTCGCCACGCCCACTGGACCACTGCCGATTAAAGTATTTTTTAAATATACCTGGGGTCTGTTCTCTCTCCAGAAAAAAATTAAATTTTTCTGAGAGGCGAACCTCTGATCGTGACCAGATAAGTGAAGACACTAAGTATAAGTGAAGACCATCATGCACCATAAGCACTATTCAGCAGCCGCGCCTTCTGAGACACTGCAAAGTACAAACAATCGCTCCCACCCAGCAAACAATTAATGTTTATTGAACGCTACCTATCACAGGCTGGCTAGAAGAAGAAGCCCGGTTTTCCTTTATTTGAAAAAAGGTCGTAGTAAACGTTGCTGATTTGAGTAGAAATGGGCTTCTAACATTTTTTGTCACAACATTCCTGACGGTTTTGTGCACGATCTCTATTATACTGGATCATATTAACATTTTTTGCGTTTAAATTTTTTTTACCACGGATCATCTTGATGATCATCATAATACTCGTACATCAGTTTTAAAGTCATTATTTTTTAGATCTTCGTATGAGCTATTGGCATGCCCTGTGCGATTGTTCTGTCAACTGCTATAAAAGACAGCGGTAACGTATCGGTGAAACATGGTTTCCATGCTTGTTATTTCGACATGGTCCTGCCCTCGCTGACATATGGTCACTAAATTTGAAAAAAAAGTTCTTTTCTTAATTGAATTATTTTCTCCGAGACTACCAGTTTTTAACCTGAATTCGCAACCCTTCTGACTGCCGCTTTGCCTGGGTAAAATGATTATGGTGCGAACCAAGACCATCGCTTCAAACGTAGTCTTGGTACAACGAATACGTAGGTTTTGGTACATAACTGAGCAGCTTCGTGAATTATTAAACAAGATTAGGCAAAAGAAAGTACAGAGCGACTCGACTGCAACACAGAAAACACAATACGAAAAGCGGAACCGATCGCGAGTATATGGACGCTGTCTAGTTGCTCGTCATTGTATCGTAGATCCAGTTCATAGCGAAAGCAGTATTGGCATAGACCTGTAAAAGAGAATGCTTTCATGAGAAAAAAGGGCCGACAGAATCATGAAAATTTTCGGTGCCGGCAGTTTTGAAAAATATACATCCAGGTGCTACTTATTTGGAACAATAACGTACCCCAGGATGTGTTTCGCGGGCGCACCCTTGACCCCAACTGACAACACCGGCCACCATGTACTTGTTGTAGCGGTTTTTGCACATGAAGGGCCCGCCGGAATCGCCCTGGCAAGTGTCCTTACCGCCCACGCCCAACAGACCGGCGCAGATCATGCGGTCGTTAATCCTAAAAACGCATTGCAACCTTTAGTCTGCTATACTTCGAAGTTTTTTGCATTTCGGACACTTTTTTACTGGGAAAATGGATTAGCGGGCCGGACACCAGAGATGCGGTATTCTCCGCGTTGAATTACATGAGAAAACGTTTCAAAAATTTGCTCATTTGCGGTTGATAATTGTTGTTTTTATACAACTTGCACACGATGTTAACAAAAAAATAGCGCTTTTTCCTGCGGAACCACGCAGAAAATACCGTGTTTCTGGCATCTGGCACGCGAATTCATGTCGTGAAAGTGTACGGATTGCAAAAAAAGTAATAGTACCAACTAGGAAAGTGCACTCGCTTTCGGCGGGCACTGTATGACCGAAGCGTAGGAGTAAATTTATAAATTCTTTTTATCTTCTTGGTATCAAAAATTTGTAGAATGAAATGTTACGATTTTAAAGCGTATACTATGTACAGTGTCTGTAGAGTACAACCATGAGACCGGTGAGGTCTTCCAGGCAGATCAATATTCCGCTGTTCTCGGAATATGGCAAAAGTTTGGAATCGGATATTTTTGCCGGTCATATTGAAAAACATTGTGCAAAACTAAAGCCTACTTGGAAGGACATGTACTCGTATTTACGGTCTCAGTTACGATGAACGTCCTTCTGGGGCGGTGAATGCATGGTTTAACCGGCTATAGATGTATTTCTGGACAATATTTAATGCAAATTCCAAATTTCTTTCTTTTCTTCAATTTTAGATATCCTTGTTTGTTTTGCTCGATCGCCATTCGAGTAGATGGCGGTTACTTTCCCGGCGAAATACCAAAATATTTTCCAGATGAAGTGGCTGTTAAATGCGGTTTTAGGATTATTTGCACGGTAAACTACTGCGGCCCTCCATAAAATTGCACTACCTACGGTCAGATCAGGATGCAGCTTGGGCATGCCGGCAGTGCGCTAGTCAAACCAAGCAGCTATGAGTATGTGACTGTTTCCGGGCTTCCAGACTTTGTGTCCTAGTTTCATGGAGCGGTTACATTATTCAGAAGCTAATGATTTTAGCAGCAATTGTGCAAAGGCAGGAGGGTACCGTCGTATCGGTTACCGAAAAAAGACTTTACGGTAGCCACAAGCCTCGAGTACAACTGGACACTGCGCCTTTTACGCTTTTAAGTAGGGTGGCGGTGACCGATGGACAAACACAATGCAAATTGCAAAGTATGTGTTGTGCTAAGATAAGAATACAGAAATTAATGCTTACTTTGAATTATCAAAGAGATAAATATGTCATTCTTCTACAGATAAACGCCAGTAGGCAGCACAGCATTTTTATACGGCTACCGCGCCTCTGGACACTTTATAAAGAGAGATGGTGACCAGCAGACACCGCATTTTACACGCGGTCTTAGCATATACGACCAGCCAGCATTGTTTTTTGATAGTATTGTGACCGTGCATGTGTCTGTTTCACAGTATGTGGTGATCGTAAAAAATATGCATTAGATGGCGGTGGGTGACCGTGTATCATGGGTGTATGTATGCAGTTTAATAGTAGGAATACCGCGCATATGTGCATTAGAAGGCGATGACTGACAGACACCACCGTTTGCACGGGCCTTGAGTATATACAGATACGGCCAGCGCGCACACGTGCATTTCACAGTAAATACGCGGCGCACACGTCCAATAGATGGCGGTGACCGACAGACGCCACATTTTTCATGAACGCTGAACATAGAGGACCTTCGATACGCTTCGGTCGATTACGGTGAGCTTGGCTCTACAACCTACCTTCCGGTTCCACCGTATGCGATGTCGCAGGTGGTGCGGTTGACAATCGGCACGGTGACGTGTCGCAGTCCGTCTCCACCCTCTTTCGCGTACTTCACGGTACGGCCCGGCCATTCCGCTGTGAATTCAGCCCGGTTCTCATCGAAAAGCGATCGCCATGGGTCCTGGCTGCCCCAACCTGATGGATTATAGCAAAAACAACACCGCTATGTTTGGGACTTCCGAAAAAAGTCAACTTTTTATCCTGACAAAACTACCCACATATGGCGATACATTTGCAGAGCTATCGAATACTCAGAGAAGTGAAAGGAGATAATAATTCTACATAACTGTCGTACAGAACTGTAGCTGCGCCAAAAAGTATCAGCTAGTCTGTTGAACTGAATTTACCAGAAGTAAGACACGGTTCTCCATGTGGAATCTCCTCGCCCTGTCTTGGCAAGCATGCCGGCACGATGTTCTTGCGGAACTTTATACGTTCTGTAGTCTTGATCAAGCAGTAATCGTAATCGGTTCCCACGCGATTGTAGTAAGGATGGCTGCAATTCAAAGCAGGCATTCTATATTTATGAGCCTGGAAGTTGGTTTAGATCGGCACTACAAAATGGTGCAAGGGCACGGAGCAAAAACTACGCTGTATAACTGTCACAGCAGTAAACACGTTAAACGTTTCATCTATGATATCTTTGACCGCGTACCAAAGGACAGTTTCGAAATTCACTTCAGTGGCCAAATCCTCTTCCGGAGATAAAGCCAAATCGTGACCACCAATACGGGCTTTATATTGTGGCGCGGAACTCGGTCCACTGTAAAAATATTTCATAGAAACTTGGTGCGGATTGCAGAATATTGGAAAAACCGATCTTACCCGGTAAAACAATGGGCGGCCGTCAGGATCCATCTACATACCAATCCGAAAAAAATTAAAACAATTTCGATGACAGCATTTACATTTAAAAAGTACGATTTATAGAATATCAGAAAGTACTGCACCGGTTTTGGCGGCTTACGAATAATCACCATTGATTTCTTACCGATCGGAAATGACAGTTCCACCACAGAACTGCGAACCGCTCTGATAAAGCATGGCTGCTTGCCACTGCGATAAAACAGGTTGTTAGCAGTAAATGATTAGAATTTCTTATGGGTAATAGTATCTGCTACTCACGGGAACGGAATGACGATTAGCTTCAATCCCACCCACAATCCTGGACGTCTCCGTATCCATCGGGAAATGCGAGACCCCGCAGTCCGGTGCACAGTACTCGTGCTTCTCGTCCGAGCCGTCGGCGCAGTGTCGCACACCGTCACACTGCTGAGCAACGGATACACAGCCGAGGTTGGGATTGTCGCAGGGCTGGAAGCCGACTTTGCAGGGCACTAACTCCAGAGCAATATCGAACATGCCGTGCGCCACATCATCGGACGTAAACGTGAAGACGACTTCCGATGTGTCTCTGCAGAATGGGTGTATTGACAACGTCATCTCAATCGGTTCACTGCGCAGCTGCAGATGGGCTTGGTGACCTTCCGAATACTTACTCAAAACGTAGCGTACTGAGCCGACGATCACCACAGAATGTGTGACTGATATTGTTGGTTGTATCCGTGATAACCAGTTTGTCGTAACATCCTGCATCCATATCGAAGAAATGTGCGTCGATCAGCAAGGGATACTTCCTACATGTGATCATGGTATATAAAACATTAGAGGTATTAAGTGCAAGAACGCGGATTAATCGGTTCGTAGTAATCTGCCACTTACGGGTCGACTTTGACGGTCCAAGTACATTGTCGATGGGGTCCATAAGGACCGGGAAACCCGGGTGATTGAATCCTGCCAGGGTTACCCAGAGACTCCATATTGACTTCAGTGTTGCAGGGTTCAGGCTGGGGAGGGACCACACGATCAAAGAATTCCAGTTCTACAAAACGAGAAAGATAGAACTTTTAGTATTAAACAAGAAAGGCACTATTATGAATGACGGTACCGCTCACGCAGTTACCGGTAACGGTAGTTTGGCAGTGTGATTAGGGGGATCAGAGACAACAGTTTTAATTACTGATCGGAAAACTTTTAATGTTTTACAACGATTGCCGCGGTTGCGACAATCTGCACCAATCAAACTGTTCGCTTATTTCTTTAGTCAGTCATTTAATAGGGCTACTTTAGCCTACGTAATTGCATTATTTTTTTGTTTCAAAAACTTTGAGGGGAACTGACTTTCTAATTGTGTGTCACGTATAGCATTCCCAAATTTAGATTTGATGCTGCTGGAAACAGATAATCAACACTGACCGGCTCTCCAACCACGCCATTCGGCACCGTAATCCGTGCAGAAGTCCATATGGATTCGGTTGCCTCGACTTGTGAAGGTCATATCCTCGCCGGTAAGGTTACCGCATTGTGGCCCTTGAACATAAGCCGGTTAGTAAAAGTTGGAATAGTAAAGTTAATGAAGGTACAGATACAGAATATATATTATTGTGCAAGTGCACTCGTAACCGAGGTTCTGGGCTTACCGAAAACGCCATTGTAGCCAGGTCGGCATACCGGTACTTCAGCCATGAGTCCTTCCGTAGTGGCAGCTGTAATTACAATGGCGTAACCCTACATATTACGATTTATTTTAGAAATTCTACAGTACGGTTATCAAAATTTGACAATGTACACGATAAACAATTGTCGTTGATAAGAGCAGGCGATTACCTTCTAGCACTACGATACTCATTCGCATTTTGAGTTTGACATAACATTATAATGTTTTTTTTCATAACCCCGTGATCACTAAAACTGATTTTTCAAATCTTCACAGATTCTTTTACATGGTCCACATTTTATTTATTATTGCAATTATTATCTAAAACGTTTTTTTCTTACCGTAAATTTAAAATATACCCTCCTTATAATACGTATTATTAATGGTCAGAAAATCGGAGTAATGTTAAGCCCATTTCATTTGCAGGTGCAGTTCTGTTTCAGTCATTCATGTAAAAACATAACTGGACTGTCTTGACCACTTACGGTAGCTAGGGGATTCATAGATGGTGAGATAATCGGCTGTTGTGCTGCAACGGACAAAAACGTTCTAAACAATTAGTGTTACCACGCATATAAAGTAAATTTAAACTGAAAAAATTGGTTCTAACAAATCCGTATTTAAAAAACTACAGTATTTTTTGGAACGATTATTATCTGTACCCACACTGAAAGCCGCATGCGCAAAAGATTTTCTATGACCAGATAACCTATGTATGTAGCCGAAAATTTCAAGACTCAGACTTTAAATTTTAAGATATTTATGTATGGTTTCACAGATAGGTATGCATCGACAAATTGGGCGTTTAACTTTTTTTTGCCAACCGGCGACATCGAAATATCGTATAAAATGCGATTATTACCGTATTAGCAAATTAGTTTTCACAGGCGCCTTTTTTTGTTATACAGGCATGCATACAGATAACTGACTTCGCTCTGTGATCTAATACGGTAATTACTAATTAACTCAAAACTCAGCCATTTTTTGCGACATTCGAAGCATTACCATTGCCCGGTGCCCTCTACTTCAAACGTCGTGAATTTAATCCTGATACGTCGGTTTTCCGGCACAGAGATAATATACCGGCACCACTGCAATGTCAACAGGATGTAAATATTTTGCGTTAAGGCTGTACAGATATTAAGAGTTTAAGCATTGCATTCCTGAAATGCAGCACAAACTGGGCGTTTAACTACTTGATTGCAAACTGGCAGCACAGGAATATTAATTAAATTGTAGAAAATGCGATTATTACCGTATAGGGAAAATAATTTCCGCCTTCATCAAAATTCTCGCTGGTCAGTACGGAGCTATTTACACCCGGTCCATAATGGAGATCCCGGAAAGTCTGGCATCCATGCTGTGCCGCTATAGTAGCAAATCATCTTTATGACGTAGTAAGGTCAATCAAAAATATTTAAATTCTGTACAAATTTCCAAGTTGCTGACATAGCTTTGGTCAAAACAGGTTTAAATCTTGCTTTAAAATCTGATTTTTAAGTAGCATATTTTACAAAAACTTACCTGAGCGCTGTATTATGCTCAGTACCACGAGAAAACCGAGTTTTAACAGTAATCCCATTTTAGAAATTGGGTTAGAATTTCAGTACACCCTTGCGGACAATTACGCAATGTTAGACTAACTTCAGCCTCGTTAAGATCGATCGCCGTAAATTTTCTACCGTTTACTGCATCAAAAATTTTGTAATATCCATTTATTGTGTCCTTGGTATGAATATAATCAACCGGGATTATCGCCGCATTTTACAATGGCCAATGGCACTTACGAAATGTTCATTGTTTATCCGTATCACCAGTGTGCAACAGCTCTCATTTGTGCCATTGTAATTAATGTTGATTAGATAATATTACATGTAATACACAGCTGATCTCAAAAGTACATATGATACATAAATTTTTGGTACACAGAGTATGTTATGCAGTCGTTTATTCAGTAACGATGGAACTTATTCATCAGTTTTGTTTTTTAATAATTGTTTTTATTTATCTGTATACTTTTTTCATTTTTTAAAATTAATTTTATATTAATGTTCTTTCTTCAGGTACAGACACCAAAGTGTAAAGTAGGACGAAAATTGTTTCCTCGTGGCATAATGTATACACGTACGGGGTACCTATAGTTCTTGTTTTTTATTGCATTGAGCATATTTTTAAACGATACATAAACAAATTTTTCAAGCATATTTAGCAGCAAAAGGTTCAAGGCAAAAAAATATATCTTGTAATAAACAAACAACTTCGCCAGTATTAGCAGCATGGAGATTTACCATGGATTACTATAAGGTCAGTCTTAGAGATATAATAGTCCGCGGCCTGCTTCCCCGTACTATGCATGAACAATATCACTCAGGAACTGAATAAACGCGCAGGTTGTCTGCTTTTTTCTCACACTTCCAGCGAAAATTTCTGATTGCACAAAAGGGCCCAATTAGCAATGTATACTGTGCATATAAGTAAGAGTGACAAAAACAGTGACAAAAATTAAGAACCCGTGAGTGAGAACCCGTTAAAACAAAAATTAAGATCCCATGAGAACTCCCGTCAGTCCAGAATTAAGGATAACAGCATCCTTTAGTGAATTCACAGAAACCCATTTAATATATACACAGCTCGGGGTATAGGTCACATCGGGGTCTGATCCTGCGCCGCTGCCGCTCCAGAGTTTGTTCATAGGCAGCGTACTGCTGTTGTTGCTGCTGCTGACGAGCCATCTGTGGTTCCTCCATCTGCTGGGCCATCTGGGCGTAGGCGTTCTCCGCGGGCTGCTCAAAGATGTAGCTCTGAGATGGACTGTAGCGGGCACTGCATACGGCCACCAGCATGCCCATGACACAAACTACGGTCAGGTGATGCATAATGCACATTAAAGTTTCTCGAATTAAAAGGTCAAACTGGTTAGCAAACTCACTAGATGAAAAAAAAATTTTGGGCTTACTAAGAAAAACGGGAAGGGCGGTTACCAGGAAACACGTTGCATATATGCACTTGAAGTGCAAAAACGAATAAAATTTAATGTTAAAATTTACAATTTTGAGAAATTAAAGGTTTAAAATGAAAGATTTAAAACTTTTTATTACAGGACTGAAATGATTAAAACTGTAGTTAATTATGCAGGGCAGCAGCGGAAGACGGGTGGAATGCAACCAAACCCAGCAACCCGAATACGATAAGGCATTTTTGCATTTTTTTCACAACACGCTTTCCCGAGGCATCTCGATGCTTTCGGCAGGTAAATAAGATTCACCTGACCTCTTACTGGATATCGGTCAAAGCTGGCAGAATTAAGTGTTTGTGCCTCGTTTGTACATTTATTTTCGTGTTTATTTGTCCTGGTTCGTGGTGTTTTCTTTAAAACCATGAAATAAAATTAATGGTATCGACACCAGCATATTATTAAGTACTCTTATACATGCTTCTATTTGTAAGTAGATTACATTTTGACACAGTGCGGCCTTCAGCATTTAATTTTACACTTTACAGATTCTAGCTGCGTTGCCTTTCACTACTCCCCTTTTCCGGCACTACCTGAACCTTTCAATTTGTGCACCTCCTATTGACGCCACTTTTTCACTAAAGTACATTATGTGTTTTTCAGTTTCACTTCGCAATCTTCACCGTCGTTATTACGTACATGCCGAAGGTCACCTGAGCTTTTGCGATCGAAATCTCCATTTATTTAACGAGCATCCGGTGGTAATGTGTATATGGTCCACCGTACAGGATGTTTCTCCTGTAGACTATAGAAATGAACGCTATAGTTATATGTTAATGTCCCTCATGCGGGATCCATCAAAAAGATGTCCACCATTCAACAAGAGCTACAAGACCCTCTTGCAAATGAATTGTCGCTATATAGCGCTCTAAAAGATGACCGCACGGTCCGCACTATAAGTTAAAAATAATACTCGTATGTTTGCGCATTAGGGACACGATGGGACATTATTAAATTTTTACATTAACTGGAACCGAAAAATGTCGGAGACTGTTTTAGCTAGAAAAAACAATTTGCTGTATAAAATAGTCTAATTCGGATGACATAGTGAATCGATATTTTCTTCGCTAAACTTACAGAATTCCAGTACAAAACCTCAACACATCCGGGCCCCGGCAACAGTAAGTTCAAGCACTTTGTTAAAATAAAACAAAATAAGTATAGTCCGCGTAACACAGAACGCCATCGCCTCTTTCACAGGAAATTCACCAATGAGCAACAAAAAATTCGAGATCACACCCAACAACCACGAAAATCCCTCCGAGAAACAGTTTAATTCACGATCAAGTATCCACATCCAGTAATACATCAGAATTCGGTGGCGATCCCGCAGTATCATCCACAAAAACAGGCTGCCGGCACACCGGACACTTGCGGGAATACGTCGTCAGCCATGTTGTCAAGCACGCTTCATGTCCAACTAAACACAATAATCAACGTGCTGCGTGATCATTACATCAAGAGAAAAAAAGATTACAATTAATCAAATTTATAAAAATATACGACGACATTTTAACCGGAGTTGGATAACTTAAATCTCCATAAAATATATACATAATGTAAATATAATTAAGGAGATGTGATTAATGACATTAAAATGTAAATACATTATTAAAAATATGCAAATAATACATAAATATACAATAAATACTTATATAAGTGGAAAGTAAATGAAGCAAAAAAGTAATATAACTGTATATGTACATCATACCATATCGCAGATAAATAATATACGTAAACCAATAATTTTAATGTAAATATTTCCGTAATATTTACATTCAAAAGAAAGCAGAATGTAAGTACAGATATATCTGTGTGCATGCATACCTTGTGTACAAAGTATATACACACTTTATGTCTCCCTAATTTTAATAATTCAGATAATTATCGCTACGACACAAGCACGGTATAATACAGCCGCGTTACCATCTCATACATATCTCTAATTTTATGTTTTCAATAATTCAGATAAATATCCCTGCGACACTAGCACGCCGTGCTAGTTATACGGTACAGCCCCGTTACCATGCGTGCAAGGTAGGACAATCTTCAGCTCGCCCTCCGTGAAATTCTGTTGGCACGTGGGGCAGATATCGTCCGAAGGCCCGGTGATTTCGGTGCGCGGGAGCTGTTCCATTTCCCCAGCGCTGAGCGGTGTATCGGTGGCTGTCAGGCGTTGTCGCTCTTCAGCTGCCTGCTCTTGCGCAATGAGCGTGAAAATCAACCGATAGACCATTTCCTCGCGAGCCGCCAGAATTTGCGCGATCTCTTCGTCGGTTCGATGCAGACGTTCCTATACATCCAAAAACAAGCGGTTACATAACTTCAGATTGTACGAGCAGATTGTGTTGTATCATTGATCTCGGTTTCTCAACATTTTAAATTTTTTGGATACAGTATGTCTGGAGTGCAGTTTTTAGTACTGAGGATTAAACGTCACCGTAATCCTTCCTGGACGGTTGACCGTTTCGGCAGCAACCGGCAAAACTGGGGCAGCGACTGGCAAAACTGGTCGCCTTTTTCGCAGGTGTTTGCAGGTGTACCGCAATAGGGCGATGAGAACCATCAGGAAAAGGGTCATCGCAAGATACCAGTTGACAAACGTGTCCGGTGATATGTATAGCGGACTCGGAGTGGCGGTCATTGATGAGTAGTGTACACGCTGGTGTAACTGATTTTGGCGCACATTTTCGCGCTGATCTGACTGACAATTTGATTGGTCAGACACGCCCCTTCTCTGATTGGCCTGACACGCTCCTTCTCTGATTGGTCGGAAACGAACCGCCCAGAACCGAGCCGAACCGTTCAGGACCGAACCGAGACCGGCCGAACCGTACTATACCCCCTTTCTTTTGTTTATTTTTCTCCACCCTATTTTATTTTGTTTTCACCGAATAACAACGAACAAAGTTTAAGTAAAACAAATCAGGCCGCATGAACATACGCAGGAGTAGCAGTACAGTCTTTGACAAAAATACAATTTCGGTTAAATTTCTGATGGTCATTGTATGGATCTCCCGGTGTCCAGTTGCTCATTGTAAACCGGCAGTAACGGCATTTAACTGTATCATCAGATCCGGTATAGTACAGTCCCGTCCTTGCCATGGCGCCGGCAGAAGGAAGGAGGTGTGGCCGGTTCTCAAAAGTACTGAGTGGTCCGTCGGGGTTGTGAAGTTTACTGACGTATTTGTAAAGTTCTTCGGCTAAGGCATACACCTGCTCCTGCCCGTCCCAGTTACCCACCAGGTCGTCGGGTATGCTTGAAAATCCAGACCAAGCCCCCGCAATGGCACAAGCCATGATGCCGATGGCATCTGTGCATCCTCCAGTTAACATTGTCGCGTGCAGAGTGGATTCGAAGGAATAACTACTACAGCGACCAATAGCAGCGAAGTAAACAGCAACAGGGACGGCTTCCAAGGGCTAGTACCGACGCCAATAGCTTTGAACAGTTTCTCCTTAGGTTCGACACGTTGCGCATAGTCCAAAACAATCATCATACGTGTATAAAATTTCTCACGTACGCATTCCGGGAGAGACTTATTGCTGTATTCAACAAGAGCGGATAGAAACTCCAGCTCGGTCAGCTGTGGATTCATTAGAACCAGACTGATGGCATAGGCCTGCAGTTGTGCTCCAGCGGCAGCTTCATTGGAAGAGTGGGTGAGTCGAGCAACACGGTCTACAGAGAAACTCATCTGCTCCGTCCGATTGTAAAAGTACAAGGGAAACGCTGTTATCCAAGTGGCCGCATTACATTCTGTTCCCCGGTTGCGGACGTTCTGTGCCGCGGCGGTCCAGTCTTTTGGGGGAGAATGTTTCCAACTGGCAATAATGGTGGTCAGTTCACCAAAAGCTTGGCGCTTAGTGTGGTTGTGGTAAAAGGCTTGGCTAAATTGTCGTGCGGCATTCTCCATTTAAAAAAAGCCAGTATCCAGTAGAGACTTGGCGTAAGCGTGCGTTATTAAGAATTTTTCCCAGTAAGTCGAGACCTTGCTACGCACCCGCGCCAAGTTCATGTGACAAGACGTGGGGCGTCTCAAGGGTGTTCCGATGCATTCTCCAATCAATGCGCCTAATATACAGCCTTTGTACTGATCCATGGCGTTCAGAATTGCGAATAAATTCCTAATCCAACCAGCTGAGATAGACCTCGTCGTTTTCAAAATCCAAACTGGCGCTGACCCGCATTCATTCTCGTCCTCTCTCATTTAACAATGGTTAATACAAAAGGGCGCTGACCCAGATTCTTTGTTCCTTAGCTAATCCAAACTGACGCTGACCCACATTCTGTCTCGTCCTCTCTCATTCGACAATGGCTAATACAAACTGACGATGACCAAGTTTTCTTCAGTTATTCCGAATTCTCAACAAGATCGTTGCTGTCTGGATTCATCGACAGTTATTGTTTTGGCACTGCGCTTTCAGAAATGGATTTTGACCTTTCGGAATTAACTTTTACTCCAGCGCAACGGGAATACTGTTTTGGATCGCTCCATTTAAATTCTTTAGATCTGGGGAAATTCAAATCATCGGCTTTCCCCCCTTTCTTTTGTTTCATTTTTTCCCCACCCTCTTTTATTTCGTCTTCAGTAACAATTATTACAAAAACAGTTCAGGCCGCATGAACATACGCAGGAGTATCAGTACAGTCTTTGAAAGAAATACGATTTCGGTTAAATTTCTGATGGTCATCGAAAGGATCTTCCGGCGCCCAGTTGCTCATTTTAATGTATTATACTGCCACTACTAAGAAACAATATAAACTGTACGAGTACTGTACCTTGCACTCGTATAGATAGAGCGCGTAAACAGCATGCTTTCTGAATAAAATCAGAAAGAATCCGGCAGCGCGTGGTGATGTGACTTTTCTCTGAAAGTGCCAAAAGTGCACCGCACCGCACCGGCTCCAAGCACCGCACCGCACCGGCTCCAAGCACCGCCCACCAACGTTCAGATAGGGTAGACAAACCAGCCATGTACTGTATGTATTTTACTGCTACTACGCACAAACAAATGTACGAGTTCTATACTTTGCACTCGTATGGTCAGGACCCGGCAGCAGCCTGCTTTCTGATTAAAATTAGATAGCATTCGGCTGCAAGCATGCATCTTGTCTGTTCAGTCATCGAACTTTGGGGCAGAAGTAACTTATTTTTCTGATTAAAACTACAGATAAGTTTACTTGTACCTAACGAAATTCAATACTAGGTGTGACAAAATGAGTCAGCATCTGTCATAACCTGTGAGCGTGCAGCCTGTCTGTACAGTCATCAAAGGTTGGAATAAAATTAACTTATGAGGTGATTAACTTTATAGATAACTTTACTTGTGCCTATGAGCATTGAATACCAGAAGTACATACTGGTCGGCACAAACAAAATTAACGTACATGCGTGACGTAGTTGCACATCCACCGGGAACAGCCGCGCGCCATCGTCTTGAAGCATACGTTGTTCACATATTGATTAACGGATATTATTAGTATGTATTATAAAATAATGACGTACAAAAACCAAGCTCCAACCACGAAATAGAGGAACATAATATTTTCTTATGAAATATGTCAAATTCCACGCATATATTCCTTCCCGAAATAGCACGTAAAGCGCAACTACACAGGCTGCTGCTCAGGTACCGAAGTGGTTCAGACCGGTGAAGTGATGTGGTTACCTACAATGAATAGTACTTGTTACAACTCCACTGCACCAAGGAACAGATATATACATAGATCTCTACAATTACCGTGTATAATGTAAAACACATATTACAAATTAATACGATTATAATGACATACAGACACATGCTTCAACTAAAAGAGCGGTATTTAACCTTTTCAATGTGAAATGTGGAATTCCACACGTCGACACCATGAAACGGCTAGAAAAAAGCAATACTTTTACCTTCACCGCACTGGACCACACCGGACCCAGCCCCACGGCGCACCGCAGCCCCTGACGCCGCACAGAACCGGACCCGAACCTCATGACAACGCCCAGGCAGAGTAGCCATGTACTGTATATACTGTACTTCCGCTACTCGCAAAGAAAGATATATTGTACGAATACTGTACTGTTTACTCAGATGGCCAGCGACGCAGACAGGAAGCTGGTTGATTGCAATCAGATAGCGGCCAGTAGCGACAAGGCTGCCTAGGCCTGTCTGCTCAGACATCAAACTTTTAGGCAGAAGCAGCTTATTTTTCTGATTGAGACTACAGATAAGTTATACTTATACCTATGAAAATCTGTAATAGATGTACATAGAAAAAACAACACCGTGTATATACTGTACGGCACAAGCATTTCAGTTGTACATTTACCGTGACGCACGTATCCACTAGGATGGAAACTGTCTTTAAACATAAGGTGTTTGCATATTTACGAACATTTATTAGTAATATTTTAATGGGTAATAGCCGCCAAGATAACGATTGCATGCGCTTGTACACTACCAGAAAGTTAATTTTTTATCAATCAAAAACAAACCAAAATCGAAAGCAGTAGAACGCACTTTTTCAGTTAAGTCTCGAATTCGACGGCCCATGAAATGCAACAGGTCACCCATAGCGGGAGCCAAATACCCCCAGTCTCAGTCACTAAAAGATAAAAAAGTATCCGTTATCCAAAAACTGATATGTTCGGCGCTTGGAATTTTTGCAAGCTGAGCAACATGTCCTGGTTTCTTACAGCTGCCGGTGACATGCGGCTGTACACCAACTAGTTGCTTCACACAGCAGCAGTTTATTGGTAATTAATATAATCAATTAACTACAGATACTGTGCTTCAACCACAAAGGAGCGGCAATAAATATTATATTTTGTGATATGTAGAATTCTACACATTGATTCCATTTCCATTAATCTGCATAGCACAATGCTGCCGCTCAGTCTCATGTTCAGGTTACGCGTATGAGTTGTGAAGATTTTGTACAATTCCATTCTCAAATACGTACACTTTTTTCTCATAAAATATATTACAGTTTTGGACACCATAATTTCCAAAACAAATGGACATTTTACCGTATACGGTATGGAAGTTTTTGATTTGCAAAACTACATACGCAACGTTAAAACATGGAGTTTTTCTCATCAGAAATTTGAAAGATTTTATTCGTGACAATACTACATTAAACTACGTTAAGTTCCTCCCAAATTAGCACCATTAAAGTAGTTTTTAAATACATTTTTCTTGACATTTTCAAAATTTTTCGCTTAAAACGCAAATCAGTGGAGCCGCCGGGGACTAGTAAGTACTTTATTATTACACAGACTGCATGGCTGGGACCAGCATATTCATTTGACCACGGCCAGTGGTCAATCATCAGCCATGGCGCTATAAGAATACATACCCTGTTCCAATAACAAAACTCGAACCAAAACAGCATCAATATAAGTGATAATAAGATCCAACTTAAAACAATAAGAACAAGCACAATACCAAGTAAAAATTCATGTTAAACGTTAGCGATCAACGTAAACTGCAACTTCTGCACTAATGCACAGTATGTTCCTCATCCGTGTTTCGATTTATCGATGCGCAGTGTTTCATAGTAATTATCAAGTATTGAACACATGTAAGGGTTTAGTAAGTGTTGCAACTATGACGATTTGCAAGCAAACGGAAGCAACACATCTTTGGAAT